AACCCGGATCATCATTTTTATAAGATCACCCCGCACTGGTTCATGCTGACGGTCCCTTATCTTGGGGCCACGGTCCGGCTCAAAGAACCGACGAAGACGCGACCCATGCTGCTCTGGACTCACGCTTCCAGTGTTGGAGGTACTCGCGGCATCCTGCGGAGCCGACAGATCCATCCTTCCCGGCAGCACTCCTCGGAGTGCCCAGCCTTTTATGCCCAGGGCTGGAAGATCACTGGACACGCCGACTACGACGCTGAAGAAATCGCTCGCACGATGAGCCAGAACTGGAGCATGTCTTTTAACATGGCTCAATTGCTGCTGTTCGGACGCGCTGTTGGCACCTGTCAACCGATTCGATCGGGAGGAGAGCAAGCTTGCATTGAGGCCCTGGACTCCAGTGAACGTCCTGATGTTATCCACTATGTGTCGGGCAAGTGTTGGATGGTGATCCCGGAGGCAAGCCAGATCGTTGGACTCGCATGGCCCACCGATGCAAAACCGCCCACTGGTGTCCTCCGCTCGTGAACCTGCACCAGGAGCATTTGCAGCCAATGACAATTAATGATGTTTCATTGCGAATAAGAGCATACTTCGCCACACTGCCGTCTTCGACTACCGACGATATTTTGCGACAAAAAGTGCACGCCAGAGCCTGATCCGAGTATGTGCTGACCTTGCTGCAGGGTTCCTTTTTGAAGTTTTGTGTAGCTAATGCTGTTTTCTGGTCGCTCACCACCCTGGGCCCGGACGGAATTCGGGTGTCGTTTTGGCATGGTTACTGTTTCGGAAATGTGTGGAGTACCCCTAGCGTTTAACCCATTAGCAGTGCGGGCGGCAACCTCCTATCTCGTGATGGCTTCTCCGTGGAGCTATTCATGGCCGGCGACATCGGCACCTTCTTCCTCTTCGCATCCGGGACACTCGTATCTACCGTCATGGTCATTTCCGCAGTCCCAGCAGGAGGCATATCTCAGCTCTAATCGGACGGAACCTTCGCAACATCAACTTCGCGAGGAAGCACCGTCCCGAGTCAATCCCCCTCGGCCCCCACAGATGGCTCATCAGTTTCCTCCTCAACCACCCGGTCAATTTTACAACTATCACGGTGGTGGAACAAGTCACATGCAGACAGGTCCTCGTCCTCCACCACCCGCACCGCCAGTTCAACCTCCAGTTCGGGCACCTCTAGGCCAGGGTGATGCAACGCAATACACTCAGCCTCGATATTCGCAGCTGCTTCCCAGCACCTTCCAATCTGACGACATCTTCCTAGACAAGACGGAGGTCCGTGGTCTGCAGCTGTACCGTCACGTTCAGCCCACTCAGTGGTCCAGAAGAGTTGGGCTCGCAGGAACAGC